TGTTGTTGTTGTTAACTGCTGTCTGCTGGTTCTGAGGACTCATAGTGACTCATGTTGTTGTTGTTAAGTGCCATCTTATAGTGACTCTGTATAGGGTTTCTGAAGTGGCTGGTGAGCTTGAACCACTGACCTTGTGGTTCAAACCAACTTTTCAGTCTAGTGTATAGTGCATAGCATCACACCAGGAGTGTTATAAACCTAACCATTTCTGAGGTTTAAAAAGAGCAGATCAGACACAAAGGGGGACAAAGGCAGGTAGCTACTATGTGAAGTTCAACAAGGAAGCCCTTGCCCACCTAAACTGAGAGAAGGATCTTCCCCCAGAGTGGGCAAAAAGCCTTCTCGTACAGCCAATGACCTTAATTCAGACTTCGAGTCTTGTCAACTGGGAGACAATCCATGTCTGCTCTTAAAACCAGCCCCTGGTGGTATTTCTGTTGCAACAGCTAATGTGACACGAAGATTGGTTACTTCCTGGTGTGGCGCTGTGGGTTAATGCACCAAACTGCAAAGCTGTTTGAACTGCAAGGTCGGCAGTTCAAGCTCACCAGCTGCTCCTCAGAAACCCTACACAGGGTCGTATGGGTCGGAACCAAATTGACAACACTTAACAACAACAACAAAGTTACATACAAGCCATGGATCAAGTTTTCATTTTTAAAAATTAGCCATTGTTGGATAAAATGATACAAAGTATATGCTAGTATTCTTCCACGCTTCTGGCTAGTGATAAGACTCGCAAGAAAAATGCTAAAATCTCAGGAATAATTTAACTAGAAATTGTACACTACCATTTCCCAGAGCCTATCTCTTTGCTTTTCAGTGTACTAATAAAAAAGAAGGAAAAGGTGATAGTAAAATAAAGGGGGAGGGGCAGTGGGGGGGGGGAGAGAACTCACCTAAATCCAAGAATACCAGTATTAGCCATAACAAAAGCTAAACCAAGGATGCCACTTCCCATGATGGCGTTCATCAAATTAAACACTGAGAAACCAAATGAGACACCTGGGGATCCCTGTCTGTGAAGTTCCTGTAAGCACACAAATGTAATAGTGTCAAACGTTAGGACAGCGAAATGTTTGGTCAAATCACTGAAAAGTTAAGAGGAACCTCTCCTGCAAACAGCCAGAGAGCGTGACACATGAGTTGCTCAACTAGCACTGGTTTCTTTTCTTTTCCTTGAGACCTCCTATTAGTGCAACTACAACTCCAGGAATAGATAACTGTTTCCTAGGAAATTCATTTTCACTGTACAGAGGCCAGATAGGCCTAAGGCGGAGCCACAGCTATCCTCGTGAGTGCAGGAGATAGGACAGGAATGAGGCGAGCCAGCAGTGCAGGGCTAGCACTGGAAAATTCTAAGCCAGTTTAGGCTACAGGAGTGTATTTGGGGCTGTTGCGCCCCAAATATTAAGATCGCAAAACTAACTGCTGATAGACTTACTAAGTTGTTCAATGTCGTCAAGTTGTCTCCAACTCATAGTGATCCTGTATAGGGTTTTCCTTAAGAGCAGCTGGTGAGCTTGAACCACCGATCTTGTGGTTCAAACTAACCTTGCAGGCCAGTGCATTAACCCACATTGCCATAATTCACACTGTGCTGGCGAGGATACTCCTGACAACAAACACCCTTGCCCAGAATTACATTTGGGAGCAAAATCCTAGAAACTGCTACTGCCCAGGGACTTGAAGTTTAAAAACTAAACAGAACAAAAACTGTCAACTGCGCGTTTTAGAATCACTGGGCCCCTCAATGACTAAGACGGAAAAGAAAAGTCTTGTGACTTTTGCAAAGATCTGACAAGATTCCTGGTGGAATCAAGAAGCCGACAAGGATACTAACAGTAATGAGTCACATAACCCTAGGGCTGCTCATCTAGTCGCGCCCCCAGCTTTCATTGAGGGTTGCACCCATTCCACCAGAGCCGGCTCCTTTACATCAACCCCCCCGCCCCCGCCCCTCCGCAGGGAATGGTGGGCTTCAATCATTTTCATGAACTCCGCTAGATCTCATCTGACTCTAGGCAGCTTCCTTTGAACCCCACCTCCCTGCTCTGGCAACAAGAAGAGCTTCTTCTCCTCGCTCCCTGTGCTGCCCAGCTTCTTTTCTGGTCTTATTTGGGGAGACACTTCATAGAACCAGTCAGCCATCAACGCCTAAGAGGAGCAAAGCCCACTTACGTTGCTTAGCAACGGGCTCGACTCTCCCGCCTCTGCCTCTTCAGGCAGCCGAGCAGAGACATACCAGCCCTGCTCAACGTTGATGCTCCCCCAGGACGCCTCCATGCTCTTAGCCTGCCAGATGCCAGATCCATCTGCGGGATACTACCCTATCTCTCCTGTGGTTAGCAGCGTCAGAGGCGGAGCTATGAGCAGATCCTTCCGCGATTCCGTACTTCACTAGAAAAGGGCGGGGGGGCGGGAGAGAGAGGAGAAGAGGAGAGAGGTGGCGCGATTTAATGACGCTCACCCTTGTCGGCGCACCGTGATGATGTCATCGGGAACTAACCCATTCACGGCGATCTCTCTCTGAGCCGTTCCAGAGCATGAGGTAAGGGGTTTGGTCAGCAAGCCAAGCTATGGGCGACCCCGGGGATTGGGATGATACAGTTAGTGAGATCGCTGCTGTGGTATCCCTGAGTAGTGTGAAGAGATTGATGGTCTGGTGTCGGTACCGGTCCGTCCCGGGCCGCTCGTCGCTTTGGCGCAGAAATGTTGCGAGGTCATCTACTTGCTTAGGTGCTGAGTTTATATGCGAGTACTAGGTACTGAGCAATTTGTTTTAAACTTTTCAGAAGCTCTGATAGAACTGTTAGCTAAGTTTTACTATTGGGGAAACCGAGGCTCCGACTAAGTAATTTACCGAACGTCACACAGTTAACTTCTAAAGCCCATTTGAACCCTGCCTGTATTAAAGTTTGACATCGTTGTTTTTCAAGGTTCCGGGACAGTGTTCTTTCTCCTTACATTGACTTATTCTAGAATTCAGAGGTAACAAGCGATTCTGTTAATGGGATAGTCATGTAATATATACTCAGCAAAGTTTTCTTTTCAAAATGCCGAAGTCTCTAGTTACAGGCAGGACATATGGTAGAAAAGCATCAAAGACAAGCAGCAGAGCTAGATACTAAGAAAGCAAACACGGAAGTCAGTCAGACCTTGGTTTAGGGCATGCTCAGCCCCTTACTAGCAACTAGATTTTAAGTAAGTTAACCTACTTTTGAACTTCAGTTTACTTAGTACAAAATTAGGATCTGATAATACACACCTCCCAAGATTGATAATGCGTTTACTTGTTTAGCACATCTGACGCGATAAACACCCTTAAGAACATCCTAATGAATGATGCCACTGGTAAAGTCACAAATGGAATTAACCAATTCGTTTAGAAATGATCCTTTAGCTCAAATTTTAGCTCTCTGGTTCAAAGTGATTCTGTAGAAAATTGTGAATGGAGAGATTCACTGAGTATGGGGAGACAGATGAATGAGGAATCCTTCTGCCATGGCAACAGATGGGTAGAGGTATCTACCACTAATAAAAGTCATCCTATCATGGAAAATATGGTACACTTTGCACATAATACTAAAAAATTTATTATCTACATTTAATAAGTTGTTTAAAACAGTAGAGTTTAGATTTTTATTCACAAAAGCCATTGCAGACATGTAAATTTATAGCTTTATGACATTTTTTAAATGAATACCTTTGTTTTAGGGTTTTCTGGAGGCCATTTGAATTCTCACGAAGACTTCTGACAGTGGAAAGCTGTAAGAGCAGAGCTGAATCCACATCACTGATTCCACTAGTTTGGATACCACTGATACAAAAGCTCAAAACACATAGTATTTTCTTGTTGGATCAGAGAAAAAGATTCTCAACTATGCCAGAATTAGAAACAAATCAGAGACACTCTGAATTGTTTTCACCGCCTTCTGATGTTCGAGGAATGACAGAACTTGATAGAACAGCTTTTTCAAAGACAGTCACTGTTCCAGCGCTTAAAGTGAAAAAAGAAATAGTCAATAAATTGATGCGATCTCTTAAAAGGGTAGCACTGCAGCGCCCGGGCATAAAGCGTGTGATCGAAGATCCAGAAGATGAAGAGAGTAGACTAATTATGCTGGATCCCTTTAAAATGTTTTCTCAGGATTCCTTTGAGAAAGCAGAACTCAGTATTTTAAGTCAGCTTCATGTCAGTCCACAGATATCTAAATACAATTTGAAACTAACTTACGAGAACTTTAAGTCAGAAGAAATCTTGAGAGCTGTGCTTCCTGAAGGTCAAGATGTGACTTCAGGGTTTAGCAGAGTTGGACATATTGCTCATTTAAACCTTCGAGATCATCAACTACCTTTCAAGCATTTAATTGGTATGTTTGTCATTAATACTATTCAAGTACTAGGAAGCAATTATAGTTTTTAAAAATGTTTTTATAAATGTCAATTACAGAAGCAGTATCTTTTATCATTTTAGTTTTAGACTGAACCTTGAACTGTATTTTTTTGAGTGCCTCTTTGGAATATACTTACCAGAATTATAGCCAGTTGCCATGGAATCAATTCTGGCTCATAATGACACCGTATGTGTAACTACAACTGAGCTCCATAGGGTTTTCAACAGCTGACTTCTCTGGAGGCTTTACTTCCAAGGTGCCTCTGAGTGGACTGAGTAGAACTGCCCCATAAGGTTTCCAGAGCTGTAAATCTTTATGGACGCAAACTACCACACCTTTCATCCCATAGCAGATGGTGGGTTCGAACCATTGATCACTTGGTTGGCAGCTAAGCTTTTAACCACTTTGCCACCAGGACTCCTTCTAGATTCATAGCAAGCTCTAAAGATCAGTTCAGATTCAACCTAAATCATTTGTTTTGTCAGATTCATTGAACACAGAGTACAGTTTCGGTGAAGAAAACGTATTAGACCTTCAAGACTATGTTGAAAACCAGGTTTCTTAAGTTTAGGTGTTTTATAGTCACAAGTGAAAGGTACTGTTTATTCGTGCTTTCATTGATTCAACTAACATTTATTGAATCTCTCATTTATGTCAGGAGTCCTGGTATGGTGCTGCAGGTTAATGCACTGGTCTACAAGGTTGGTTTGAACTGTAAGGTTAGTGGTTCAAGCAGCTCAGAATCCCTATACAGGGTTGCCATGAGTTGGAACCGACTGGATGGCACTTAACAACAATATATATGTCAGGCACAATACTTTGAGTCTTTGCTTAGTGCCCCTAGTCTTTTATAAATGATACTTCTGTCATACTCTGTAGTGCTAGGTTTGAGCCTGGCTCCTTAATTCTTGGGGATAAGAAAAAAGCAGAAAATGAATCAGACATAGCACTTGTCCTTAACATAAATACTTGATGTCCACACGGTCTCCAGATTATTTTTTTAATATAGATTATTTGTTGAGACTTCTGGAAATCATTTTCAAGTTTTAATACAATGCTCAGCGTTTTGCATGGGTAGGATTTCTGGACTGCTGTTGGACATTTGCTTTGCTTGTATTGATGAAAGATATTGGTAAGACACAATGGTAACATAATACTTAGCAGATTCTTCTCATTGTGACAAATGTCAAGCCTAGGCTTCCTTGTGAGTCATTGCCTAAACTAGCCTCAAGTTCCTTGGCATTCCTGTTTTATAACCTCTTTCCCAGAGGGGCAATCTTAGACTAAGGAGCCCTGCTGGTATGGTTAAAGCGCATGGCTCATTAAAGGTAAAACACACCTAAACAATGGTAATTTTAAAGTTTTTATTAAGTTGTTGTTTAGTGCCATTGAGTCTGTACCAATTCCTCTCGACCTTATATAGGGTTTCCACGAAGCAGCTGATTGGTTTGAACCGTCTACCTGGTGACTAACAGTCCAGTGCTTAACAGTGCCACACTGGACTCCACTTTTACTATAGACCTTCAGAATAAACTTAAAAAAAGAAAATGTTGTTCCCCTTTAAAATTAACTTTCAAAATTGAGGTCTGCTGTGTGGCGCTGCAGGATAATGCACTGGATCACAAGGTCAGTTTGAACCACAAGATCATAGGTTCAAACCCACCAGCCACCCCTTAGAAGCCATATAGAGAGTCCGTATGAGTCGGAACCAAGTTGACAGCACTTAACAACAACAACAAAAACTAGAATCAAAATCGGACAAGAGCAGTGATTAATTAGTGTTTATTAATAATATCATATTCAGAGTCGTGTATCTAAATATCAAAGACATCTTTGACAATTTCTGGTTGCATTTCAACTTATTTGTGTGGCTATGTAGTATAAGCACTGGACTGTGGACCACAAGATCAGTGGTTTAAGCCCACCAGCCACTCCGTAGGAGGAAAATGAGGCTTTCTGCTCCTGAAAAGATTTATAGCCTTGAAAACCCTATACAGGGTCACTATGAGTTGGAACTAACTTGACAGCACTTATCAACCATAACAATATTGTGAGCTGACAAATTAAGTTATATTACCTTATGCAATAGGACAGTATATGTTGTTATTGTGTGCCATTATTGAGTTGGTACCGACCCATAGTGACCTTATACATAACAACAAAACACTGCCTGAACCTGGGCCAACCTCACTACTGTTGCCACACTTGAACCCACTGATGCTACCACTTGGCCAATCCATGTCGTTGGGGGTCTTCCTCTTTTTCTCTGACCCTCCACCTTACCAAACATGATATCCTTCTCCAGCAACTGGTCCCTCCTGACAATATGTCCAAAGTAAGAGAGATGAAGTTTGACCATCTTGGCCTCCAAGACCATCTTGGCTGCACTTGTTCCAAAACGGATCTATTGGTTCTTTTGGCAGCCCATGGCACTTTCAATATTCTCCTCCAGCACCATAACTCAAAAGCATCAATTCTTCTACGGTCTTCCTTATTCACTGTCCAGCTTTCACATGCATATGAGGTTATTGAAAATACCATGGCTTGGGTCAGACACACCTTAGTCCTTAAGCTGACATCTTTGCTCTTCAACACTTTAAAAAGTTCCTGTGCAGCAGATTTGGCTAATGCAATAATACATCGTTTGATTTCTTGACTGTTGCTTCCATGATTGTTGATAGTTGATCCAAGAAGAATGAAGTATTTGCCAACTTCAATCTTTTCTCCGTTGATAAGAGTGTTGTATATTGGTCCAGTGGTGAGAATTTTTGTTTTCTTTACATTGAGATGTAGTCCATATAGATTCATAGAAATGTTTTAAGTGCTGACAAAGAAATACTTCGTTGTTAAGTATCCTCCAGTTGGTTCTGACAAATAGCAACCCTGTATAGGGTTTCCAAGGAGTGGCTGGTGGATTTGAACCACCAACCTTTTATTGAACAGTCTAGTGCTTATCCTACAGCACCACACCAAGACTCCACACCAGGACAAAAGGATACCAAGCCAATATACCATTTTAGGTATTTAGGATTCTATTATGGGTAGCATTTTGCTCTGGCATAAATTTGACAAAAAGAAAAATTTACGTAAATAAAATTTCAGATAAGATTGTAAAGAATCTCCATGTTTATTTTATTTGGAAACTTTGTTTTGCTGATAGATATTTCCAAAATGGAGACATTTGTGTCAAGCATACAGTAAAACAAACATTTGGTTTGAGGGGATAGTTTTACTGGTGTTTTCTGAAAAGATTTGTTGCTACTATTCTCACATCTTTTTCCATTTATTACCAATTCCTTTTTTCCTACCTTTGTACTTACTTGTTGTCATGTTATATTAGAGAAGATTTAGGAAAAGCATGGAAAAATATTTGTTGTTGTTAAGTGCGGTTGAGTCGATACCAACCCATAGCAACTCTGTATAGGATTTCCAAGAAGCAGCTGGTGAGTTTGAACCACCGACCTTGCAGTTCAAACAGCTTTGCAGTCTGATACATTAACCCACAGTGCCACACCAGGACTCTGGAAAAATATTAGGTAGCCCCAAAGTCTTGAAAAAACTTCCTTTAACAGTGTATTCAGTATGTACTCATACATAAAAATGTACCCATTTTGTGTGTAGTAAATGTTGTCCGACATTAATACTTCAGTATTAAGTTTTAGTCCTGTGTGCCTCATTATTATAACTAGGTACAGTTTATATTTTAAAAACCAACAGAAAGTGCAGTCCTTTCAATGTCATATTTGCAGTTTTAGCTTCTGTTTTGCAACCAGTAGGCAGTACTGTGCTTTTTCATCTTTTCTTTTAGGCCAAGTCATGATAGACAAAAATCCAGGGATCACCTCGGCAGTAAATAAAATCAATAATATTGACAATACTTACCGAAATTTCCAAATGGAAGTGCTGTCTGGAGAGGAAAACATGCTGACCAAGGTACAGAGTATTTTATTATCTCCTTGTGGGGTGTATCAAGATTAATTTAGAACCATAATAGATGACAAAGGATTAAAAGTATTTATCAGAGCCAGTATTGATGGAATATGTGAGAATGTGAATACTTGTACATATCACAGCAATAATGGGAGTATAAATTTGATATAAGAGTGTATGATAGTATGTTTTCCTTTTCAAAGGTACATCCTTTGTGGGACCCAGCATTCTATTTGTAGGACTTTATGCTAAGGAGTCCTGGTGTGGCGCTCTAGGTTATTGCGCTGGAATGCAAGGCCGGTTTGAACTGCAAGTTTGTCGGTTCAAGCTCACCATTCGCTCCTTAAACACCCTATACAGGGTCGCTATAAGTTGGAACTGACTCAACAACACAACAACAAAAATTCTAATGTTATAATTAGACAAAATTGTAATGATGCATATGTTAGGTTCTTCACTAGAGTTCTATAATAAACAAACATAATAAAGGACTGGAAACCACCTGAATTTATAAACAATAGAGATTTGTTAAAACCTGGTGTAAACTGGTTATAAATTGGTTAAATTATAGTGTATAGTGAAATTAAAGTTATTTATGTAGTTCCGTATATATTAAAGGAGTCCTGGTGTGGCGCTGTGGGTTAATGCACTGGACTGCAAAGTCAGTTTGAACTACAAAGTTGGTGGTTCAAACTCACCAGTCGATCCTTGGAAACCCTGTACAGGGTTGCTATGGGTTGGAATACCGACTCGATGGCACTTCACAACAACAAATATGTTTTAAAGTAAATTGCTCCTTGGCAGGTTAAGTGATTTAAAAAGGAAGTTAATAGAACAAGTATACCATAATTCCATTTTATTAAATGTGTGAATATGCACCTATGAAGGGGGCTTCAAGAAGTTTGTGGGAAATTTTGATTGTCTTTGAATTCCATTTTTTCATGAACTTTTGGAAGCTCCCTTGTAAGTAAAAAAATTGCTACTAGGGTTCTAATTCATACATGCACAAGTTTATTTAAAAACCCACAGCATGTTTAAGCATATCTCTGCAGTCAGTGGATGGCTTCATACACAAGGTTTGTGGTTCCAACTCACCAGCGCTCCTTGGAAACCCTATGCAGGGTCGCAATGAGTCAAACCCACCAGCTGAACCCACCAGCTGCTCTGTGGAGAAAGATGAGACTGTCTGCTTCCATAAAGATTCACAGCCTTGGAAGGCTGTGGAGTAGTTAAGCATTGTGCTATCGGGTTGCTATGAGTTGGAATTAACTAGAAGTCATTGGGTTTCATGGTGAGATCATAATTCTAAAAGAAGTGATAGTCTTAATTTTGTTCAAGACTTCTCTGCATTGTATATATTATATTCAGTGTACCCATGAAAAGTGAAATTGAGGAAAGAGGGGAAAATGGTAATGATCAATTCATCCTGTACAGTGGCTTTTATTGTAGACATGAAACTTATAAACTTTAAATAACCGTCTAAAAAAAGCATGTACCTGAAAATTTAATGACACATGACCCGTCTCTTGGGCCTCCCTTAGAAACTGACAACTAAAGTAAGATGGGAAGCTTGTAGACTGTGTAGTGTGCTACTAGTTGCCCACCATGTAGATGTATAATGTGTTGCTTCAAAGGAAGGCTTTCCCCCTTTCCACCTGGAGATATAAGAGAGTATTAAGCTTGTCAGTTGGCATATCTGAGAAATTCTTTATGTAATTTAGAAACTACTTTATGGCCCTTTAAGATGAGAGGGAGAGCCATCTGACATTGAAGAGATGAATTTTTTTCATTACTCTAATGTAAGATATTAACTGGCCTTAGGTATAACATAAATACTAGGATTCTAGTTAAAGTGCCCTTAAATATACTGTTATTTGCTCTTAATAGTAGTAAACCAGTGTATGTGTGTGTGTCTATATACACCAAACTAGTTGTCTTTGAGTCAGTTCCAACTCATGAGGACCCTGTGTGTGTCAGAGTAGAACTGTGCTCCATAAAGTTTTCAATGACTGATATTTTGGAAGTAGATCTGAGGTGCCTCTTGGTAGACTTAACTTACAACCTTTTGGTTAGCAGCCAATGAACATATTAACGGTTTGAACAGTCCAAGGAGTCAGCAGCCAATGAGCATATTAACTGTTTGCACAACCTAGGGACTCTATGTGTATGAGTTGCTAACCAAAAGATTGTAAGTAGTCCTGATGTGGCACTGTAGGGTAAACACTAGATTGCTAATTGAACAGTTAGTAGTTCAAACCCATAGTCACTCCTTCAACCTATTCAGGCTCACTATGAGTTGGAACCAACTCAACAGCACTAGCAACACACACACACACACACACAGGTATATATATGTGTGTATATATATATATATATATATATATATATATATTTTTTTTTTTTTTTTTAAACAAGTTATCAGTGGCTGGAATTTAGGAATACGCAGTTTAATAACAAGCATAATACCTTTTTCAGGTTCGAGAGAACAACTACAACTATGAATTTGATTTTTCTAAAGTCTATTGGAATCCACGTCTCTCTACAGAACACAGCCGTATCATAGAACTTCTCAAACCTGGGGATGTCCTATTTGATGTTTTTGCTGGGGTTGGGCCATTTGTCATTCCAGTAGCAAAGAAAAATTGCACTGTGTTTGCCAACGATCTCAACCCTGAATCCCATAAATGGCTGTTGCACAATTGTAAATTAAATAAAGTGGACCAAAAGGTAAAAGTCTTTAACTTGGATGGGAAAGACTTCCTCCAAGGACCAGTCAGAGAAGAGTTGACGCAGCAGTTGGGGCCACCATCAAAAGAAAGAAGATGCTCTGTGCACATTGTTATGAACTTGCCAGCAAAGGCTATAGAGTTTCTCAGTGCCTTCAAATCACTCTTGGATGGGCCACCTTGTCCCAGTGAGCACCTTCCCATAGTGCACTGCTACAGTTTTTCCAAAGATGCTGATCCTGCTGAGGATGTTCGGCAGCAGGCTGGAGCTGTGCTAGGGGTTTCTCTGGAGGCATGCAGTTCAGTTCACCTAGTAAGAAATGTGGCCCCTAATAAGGAAATGCTGTGTATCACTTTTCAGATTCCTGCTTCCATACTCTATAAGGATCAGACCATGAATCTAGGTGAGCAGTTTCGAGGAAATTCGATGTAGACTATCGTGTTTTTCACGGTGCTTTCTTGTGACTACATATATACACTTACTCCTCACTTCACAACTCTAGTTATCCACCATTTCACATTGATGACAATAGTAAAGAATTACTGTTTGACGCTATTTTGCGCATTAACAAAGTATGTTTGGCAGTAGTGACCACCAAGGTTGGAGGCGAGAATAACTCTGGTTGTGATGGTTAAGGTTTTGTGTCAACTTGGCTGCGCCATGATTCTCAGTGGTTAGGCAGTTTTGTAATGCTGTAATTTGGCAGTAATGTAGTGATGCAATCAGCCTCCGTTATGTGATCCCATGTGGTCTTCCTCCTCTGTTTTTGCACAATGCTCATTTTTGCATAAACGTCTAGTCTTTGGAGCCTAACCATGTTGAGATAGGAGGAGTAGGCGTCTTTTATAATCTTTATTAAATTTGGAAAAGGGGAGTTAAATAATTCTAGTTATTTTGGTTCATAACCCCTCCACCACTCAATTGTGGCTAGTTTTGTTAAATTTTACTAATTTTAGTATAATCTCTCTGGTATAATTGAGGACTTGCTCATTAAAATGTTAAATAGTAAGTCCACAGGAATATAGTATTCATGTCAAAGTTGACTAGATTTAAAATCTTTAAAATGCCTTTATTGTTTGCTTTTTTAAAGTATTTTCAAATGTTAAATACTTTACTTAAAATAGGCTTTCTGGATTTATTACAGAGAATCACGAAGATCCACCTCTTAAACGCCAGAGGACAGATAAAGCCTTTTCAGAAGAAAAAATACTAATTGCTTCAAACATTTAATTGGAAATCTTTTCTTCATCTCCTGCTAGACTTTTATATAGTAAGGTACCATTTATATGGCTGCATGAAAGTTTAGCAGTTATTTTACTACTGAACTCATGTTGACCCTTGCTGTCTTAAATATATTTCAGTATTGCCAAATTAAAATTTAACAGAAATGTCTTCTAAATGTTTACGTATTGTCTGTCTCTTGGATAATAGTGTTTGAAGGGAGGATCAGTGTGTGATGTTCAAGAAGGAAAGCAGTGGGTCAGTATCTGAGTCAACATTGTTTGGGCTTCCATGCAAATCCAAAGGAAATTTCCATGTTTCAAAATTTGTGTAACTGCAACTGTGAAACGACTCCACCAAATCCTCAATAGGAAATGATTATGTTATATTATAACATGCTACCAGGCAAATAACAAAAGAAATATCTAATCAGATTCTTTAAGTGCCAAATTTAAATCATACACTGCTGTGTGGAAAAAAGCCTGGCAGCAAAGTGGTTCGAATCCCTGAGAGAAAGATGAAGCAGTCTATCTTTGTAAAGATTTACAGCCGCAGAAACCCTTCGGAGAATTCTGTGGTGACATACTATCACATCGGTTCCGACTCATAACCACTCTGTATTGGTTTTCTGAGGCTGTAAATCTTTATGGGAGCAGGAAGCCTCATCTTTGTCCGGCAGAGTGGCTCGTACATTTGAACTGCTGACCTTGTGGTTAGCAGCCCAACACATAACCCACAATGCTACCAGGGCTCCTTAGTTCTACTTTGAGTCAATATCAACTTGATGGCAGTGAGTTTAGGGGTTAAATGTGTGAAGAGAAGTTTTAAAAGATGGAGTATGTAAACTCTCATTACAGATAACTGTTAACATGATCATTTGCAATGGGTTTTGATAACACTAATTTAGAACACAACTAAAGGAAATTATTTTTCCATAGGATAAGCACTGGACTGCTAACCACAAGGTCAAGCCTGTCAGCTGCTTCACTGGAGAAACACCAGGCTTTCTGTTCCCACAGACTTAACATCTCAGAAACCCTATTCGGGGTTGCTATGAATTAGAACCGACTCAGCGGCACTTAACATGGAAAAGATACCGTAAAAACTGAAATTCAATGGTTATACTTGAAATTTTGTCAATTAAAAATTGTGTCTTTTGTTTTATCTCATTGTATACGTTGTCATTGATTTCATTACAACTCATGGTGATCCCATGTGTATAAAGTAGAAGTGCTTCTTAGACATGGCCCAGCTACCACAGGCAGATCACAGTGATTACGGGACAGTGAGTCTGCTCTGACATAAGGGGATTCTCTGCCACCTTCACAGTGCTTGCCATGTTTGAGCCTTTTGTTGCTGCCACTGTGTCACTCCAAATTGTTGAGGGTCTTCTTTTCTGCTGACCCTCCACTTTACTAAGCTTCAGTCCTTCTCCAGGGACTGATTCCTCCAGAAGATGAAGTCTCAAGAAATAAAGTCTCATCCTCCCCCACTTTTAAGGAGCATTGGACTGCATTTCTTCCAGACAGAGTTTTTGTTCTTCTGACAGTCCGTGGTACCTGTAATATTCTTTGCCAACACCAGAATTCAAATGAATCCACTCTCCTAGGGTCTTCCTTACTGTGTAATTTTCACATGCATATGAGGTGACTGAAAATACCATGGCTAAGTCAGGAACACCTTAGTTCTCAAATTGGTATCTCCATTGTTTAACACGTTAAATAGGTCTTTTGCAGTAGATTTGACTAGTGTAATATGTTGTTTGATTTCTTGATTTCTGCTCCCATGAGAGATGATTGTGGAGCCAAGAAAAATGAAATCCTTGACAATTTCAATCTCTTCTTTTAGCAAGCTATTATCTGTTGGTCTGTTGATCTGGTGGTGAGGAGTTTTGCTTTTACAGTGAGATACAATCCACACTGAAGACTGGTCTTTGATCAGTAAGTATTTTAAGTCCTCTTTGCCTTCCAGTAAGCAAGGTTGAGTCATTTGTAGCTTGCAGGTTGTTAATGAGTCTGCCTCTATCCTGATACCACGTACTTCATATAATCCAGTTTCTCAGATTATTTGCTCATTATGCAGATTGAATAAATACAGTGAAAGAATACAACCCTGACACATCCCTTTTCCTGATTTTAAACCTTTCAGAAATCGCCTTGTTCTATTCCAGTCCTCTTGGTCTAGGCTCCTCATGAGCACAGTTCTGACTCATATTGTCCCTATGTACAACAGAACAAAACACCACCTGGTCCTGTGTCATCCTCATAATCATTCCTATGAGTCTGTTTTTGAAACAACTTTTTCAATCCATCTTAATGATGACCTTACTCTTTTTAGTTGACCCTCTATCAAGCATGATGTCCCTCTTCAGGGACTGGCTCTTTCTGATGACATCCAAAATATGTGAGACAGTCTCACCATCTTCATTATAGGGGCACTCTGGTTGTACTTCTTCCAACACGTATTTGCTTGTTTTT